CTTCAAGCTCGTTGCCAGATATACTGCTTTCTGCTCATCTGTTCATCCATTCATTTCCACCAGTAGCTCAAATTGTGCTCTATATGCTTCCCATGGAGCCTTCCCATCGAATTCCTGTGCCTTCCTTCGTACTGGATCACCCTATTGCTAGCATTCATGTCAGGGTTGTGACTTCTAACGGGACTGAATATGTCTGCATTAGGGTTTAGCTGCGGGGTCTTGAAGGGGCTTGCCATTGTCTGGGGCTGAATAAGTCGATGGTTAATGTATCCTCCTTGTGTAAAAGACAATAAATCATCCTTTAGTGTATATAATTTGTTTTTAAATTTACTAAGCTTTTCCCTTTGTTGCCACTACTGTAGTCTCTCTTCTTGTTTATTTTCTCGTTCTTCTTGTTTCTTCTCTTTTTCTTCCAACAACTGCTGTAATCTCTTTTGTTTATTTTGCTGTTCGAGCCAAACCAAACCATAACAAAATAAGATTACAATTCGCAATCTCACATGAGAGATCAGTTTAGCACTATTTGAGAAATAATTTCTAATTTTATAGAGACCAAGCCCTCTTTTAAGTAATATACATTTTTGCTTTTGTTTATTGCTCTAGTTCACCTAGTTTCAATTTCCTTTCAACAAGCAAATAAGTTTTATAGTTTTTACTTTAAATTGCATTCTAGCATTTACTTAAGACTTATTTTACAACCTGTTTAAACTGCAATTATGTCATGTTTATTGTAGCTTTATTTTGATTTCTCTAAAGATTTATTGAGTTCATTCATTTTCTTTTATTTATCTAATTTCCATTGTGCGTTTTCGTTCATTTATTTCATTTGTTTTGTCTGTCACTACACGGTGCATTTCTATTAGTATTGTTAGGTGACGAGTATTCCAGAGGATTCGCTAGTGTGTTACGACAGCGGGAGTCAAGTGACGCTGGTAACATGTGTTGAGAGTCTTAGAAGTTTCTAGAACAGGCAGTATTATAGTATATAAGTACGCTAGACAGTGAGAGAGACAGATGGAGTCGAAGCAGTAGTGGAGACAGAAGAGGCAGAGACAAAGCAGGCAGAGAG